GGGGCAAAATATACCAGGACTATATATTTCTCTCAGTTTTTAAGTTCTGTCCCTGTAATATTTACCCATAGTTGAGACTGTATGAAGAGGAAATGTGTCCTGCAAGTCTTTGGGAACTGCAAAGTATGGAAGTGTAATGAAGCTCGAACCAAGTTGAATAGCTGGGATATCTCAAATTGAGCTGTTTGAGGCTTTGCAACCTCTTCCATCCTTTGCCAGCCACAATCCTAGCTGTGTTAGGGTTGAGTAGTTGAAAGGTACCTCAGATGTGAACACAAGAGACGTGGTTGGTGCAAGATAGACCACCTTTGAGATGTGCTCTTGTGTTTGTCACCTTAAGACATATGCCTACTATGCAATTGCTGAATTTGGATGTATATGTGCTTATCATGTGCCATCTGGGGAGACCTCTAGATTCATAGTACCTCAGTGTGAAGGGAGGCTATTTTAATCCTAGCTTCTATACATCAGCCCTCCCTCAAATAATAATTCTATTTATTCCAAGGCACCTTTTTTTGTTCTGTTATTACAGATACCCATTTTGATCCAATAACTGGTCATGTTCCTTTGCCACCTGCTCGTAGAGTAACTGGAGAAAATGTAAAAACAAATAGGACATCTCAAGACTATGATCAACTTCCTCCATCCTCAGGTAAGACAGAAAACTTTTCTTGTAGAAAATTGCAATTTTATGAAGCAAATACCTCTTATCCATAAAGTCCAATGAGGGGTTTTTTTGTCATTCTGGGCAACAGATGGCAACGGTAATATTGCTTTATTATAAGTATGAAATCATCCAAGTGTAACAGAGATTAAAGTTCTGCAGTGAAGGTAGAAGTGGCTACCTGTTGCCCATAGGTGATACTTTGGCATCAGTATTACTAGCTGCCAAACTGAATGCTTTTGTGAGTTCTAGTTTCCTTATTTTCTGAGAAAGGCAGAGATTTTTCTGCCACCTTTAGAGCTTACGAGAGATCAGAAGTCCTGCAAGGAGCACTGTCATCTCACTTGCATCTTTGTTTCACTTCTTCTAAAAAAACAAAACAAAACAAAAAAAACCACACGTAGCTTCACTCTCTGAACTATTACTATTTTCTGGGGTTTTTTTGCTAATATGTTTGTGTGAACTTCTAAGAAAATTATAAGATGTTACTTAATAAAACAAGCAGAAGCAAAACCAGTTAGAATTCAGTCTTCCATTTTCAATGGAGCACGTACAGTAGAAACAATTCCTGTGCCAGAGAAATTTTGCTTATGGTTTTCAGGCAACATGAATAGTATTTAAAGGAAAGCTGCTCAAGGTAATTAAAATAATAGCAGTATTACCTGCGTTTCAAAGTACCTTCACCAATTTCTAGACAAATGTTGGGGTTTTTGTTGCATGGTATGTGAGGAAGGGAGAGGATTGCCCCACCTACATGATTTTGCTGGGCAGAAAAAGAGCCAAGTGATCTTTTGAATGGATTAATCATTCTCCAGATAAGAGAGAATTGTGTGTGAAGGCTTCCTTATGCATAAAGAAAGGAAGGGACTTATTTCTCTAGTCTCTCAGTTGTAGTGATCACCAGTATTCAATTGCAACATTCCCAAGTGGAAAAATTTTAATAGTAATTACATGTCTCCTCCTCAGGAATACTTGATTCCACTCTGCTGGGGTATAGGAAAGAAAGAATATATTTTTCCACCTTAAAGGACAGGGGAAATTTCTGTAGCACTCTTCAGGCTTACTTTTTTTTAATTAATAGCATAGTTGAGAATTAGTGTGATGCCTTTGGTAAATAGTATCACTTTTGGGAGGATACCTCTACAAACATAAGTGTTTCTCTTTTTGTTTTCGACTGTTAGAAAAAATAGAGTTTTATAATACATGTTGTAAATGTGATGCTATGAGGGATCTGTTTGTGTTACAATGCTAACGTGATGTACTTTGGGTGTTTTGAGTTCTCTTATAATACAGATTATGACAATGATGTAACTGCCTTTTAAAGCTATGGAGTTTTCCTGCAATTCTATGGTAGAATAATTTTTAATTTTCCTAAATTCCTGTAAGGTGCTTCCTGATTAAGAACTTGAAGAACTTGGACCTTTTTGATGTTACTTAATACTTTTCTGTCCGTATGTTTTGTGCAGTCATCTTTTAAAACACTCACATGTCAACTTTTGCTATAAATATCATTCTAAATCAGCATCATATGCAGCAAGATATTCCATTTAATTTCAATTAATTGAAAGCTGTGTGATAGATCATGTCATTGTCTTAATTGGAAAGTTGTTTTTACAGTGGCAGTAATTCCATAGGACAGAACTGATGAGCTTCAGGATGAACTGGTTCACCTTCATCTGTGATTTAAAAAGACAATGTAGAGAGTGTAACTGTATTCAGAACTTTGGTTTTGCATTTGTTCTGAACTAAGCAGTTCACTTAGGAAATCCCTCAGTTCAGTACTTTTGTGAGGATATTCTTTGAGCTAGCTGAAACAGAATTGGAGTTCACTCTAAAATCTAATTGTCATTTACTAGCTGAAACAGAACTGGCGTTCACTCTAAAATCTAATTGTCATTTAGCCACTGTGTCACTAGAGTAGCATGGGGATTCTTTTATCTTCTCTGCTTCACTTTCACTGCTTTTCAAATTGCTGTCATGATGTTTAACTGAATTGTTAATGTGTAGTGAGAAATAAATATATTCTAATTCAGCCAGGTACCCAGTATTGAATGCCTAAGAAATAGTACTCAACTATGCAACTAGCTACCCCAAGAGCATGGTTTTTTTCAGACTTCATATATACAACTGTGTAAAATTATTACAGAAAGACCAAGAGAAGGAGGTAGGACTTGGGGGTGCTGGTGGGCAGCAGGTTGAGGGAGGTGATAATGCCCCTTTACTCTGCTCTTCTGAGACCCTACCTGAAGTGCTGCATCCAGCTCTGGGGACACCAGCACAGGAAGGACATGGACCTCATGGAGCGAGTCCAGAGGAGGCCTCCAAGATAATTAGAGGGCTGGAGCACCTCTGCTAGGAGAAAACGCTAAAAGAATTGGGAAAATAGAAGGCTTCGGGTTCACCTAATTGTGGACTAAAAGAATTGAGAAAAGAGAAGGCTTCGGGTTCACCTAATTGTGGCCTTTCACTACCTAAAGGGAACCTACAGGAGAGCTGGAGTGGGACTTTTTACAAGAGCATGTAGTAACAGGACAAGGGGAAATGGCTTTAAACTGAAGGAGAGTAGGTTTATATTAGATATCAGGAAGAAATTCTTGACTGTGCAGCACTGGAACAGGTTGCCCAGAGAAGTTATGGATGCCTCATCCCCGAAGGTGTTCAAAGTCAGGTTGGATGGGCTATGAGCAGCCTGGTCTAGTGGAAGGTGTCCCTGCCTATGGCAGGGGACTTGGAACTAGATGACTTTTAACATCCCTTCCAACCCAAACCATTCTATGATTCTTTGACATTGCTAATTGTTAGCGTATTTTACCTAAGCACAGCCAATGATACGTGGGAAAGGTACCAGAAAATGAAGCCTCTAAGATAGATGTCTGCTGTATTTTGCTGAACTTAGCTATTCTGTAAGAAATGGTGTATTACCTGCTGCCTCTTCACTCACCTGGCCTTATTAAAACACTTGCATGGAAATTTTAAATTCCTTTACATGGAAATATTATTTCAGGGTGGATTTCAATTAATACTAGGGAGAATAATGTGCCATGGTAATGAAAAATATGAAGATCGTTCCTAACAGCTTGATGGAGCAATGTGTGCAGTGGTTCCTTTGTCACTAGCTGTCTCAGTTCCTTTGTACAGATGTCCCCTCAGTATGCTCTGCTCATGTACCCCAGTTAGATTAGATGTAGCTGCTTGCCACTGTTCCTCAGAGGGCCTTGCACAGCAAGACTGTCACCTGGTTCTCTGATACTTCAGTCTGTTGGTGTAATACCATGGAACATACAGGAGAAGCAGCAAGGGAAGAAAAGAAGGGCATTTCACACCAGAGAGGAATAGAGTGTTGGCATCATTACAAATAGCTTCTTCCCACTGTGCCACAGAGCTCTCACTTCTTTTTCCACACTTTTTACACACTTATGCAATGAGCCTGTGTCTGCCTTTATACTCACCCACTACCTAAGGGTTAAATCTAGTGCTGAATTACAGAAATGTGAGTGATGGTTAAATCCAGTGCTGAATTACAGAAATGTGAGTGATAGAGGAATCCCCTTGCAGTAGAAAATGTTAATTGAATTACACATTTAGAAAATCTATTTGAATTTTTAGTTAGACATCCATAGTGACTGAAACTTCAGGGAGGATGGGTTGGGAAGGAAAAGTCCTGCTTAATACCTCTATCTCAATGTCCAGATGGACATGCAGCTTAGGCTTAGTGTCTTTAAGCTCAGGATCCAATATGATACCCAGCTTTAGCTAAAATTTTATATGGATGTGAAGATATTGAAAGAGGTGTCAGTGCTTAAAATAATAATGGGAATTGAGAGAGTGCTGAAGATCTTAAAGTATCTGTGCTACAGAGAGATGTCACTGTAGTGAGAACAAAATGCCTATGCTGCAAATCTGCTGACAGAATTAAAAATGACCTTTCTAAATGATGTGATTGCTTAATAAAGTTTGTTTGAAAGCTCCAGCAAAGTGAAGGTTTTAAACTTCAGCTTTGAGTCTGTATTAGACTGAGAAAAGCAAATTATTATCCTCACACACACAGAAGGATCTGATCTGTGCATAAGGAATTTCTTCTGTACTTCAAGCCAGGAGGAAAATGTAGTTTGTAAATTGATTTTGTTTCATACTCTGTAGAAATGAAGTCCATAATGACATGTACATATTATAACAGGTTGAAATGTTTGTGAAAGAAAACTGATTGGTTTTAACATGATATGCTGTAATTTTATATATAAAGAATATTCTTGCTTTATAGTTTCGAGTTTTCTAAAATGAGTGAAATGATAAATTTGAACTTGTTTCTGATTTAGTTTTTAGTGATTAACCACATTTTCTGAGCTGTAGTTAATTTCTCAGACCAGTGAGATCTTCCACACTTCCATAGCAGGTTTGGATCTGCTTCAGGTGTGTTTATTAGAATGTTTATCATTTACATAATTCTTATCTTGAGAGAGAAAAGAAATCAAAACAAATATGAAAAAGACTTTGTTATCTGTAGATTGTGTCATAACTGGAAGGAAAACAGACAATGAAATTAGAAAAAAATTAATCTTAGCTCCTTACTATAAATCTTTAATCAAAATACTTTCACTCAATTTGCTGTATGAATATCACCATCTTGCTAAAAGTACTATTGTCTTCTCTGAATTAAGAAATGGAATTAAATTTCATAGCAACACTCTGATCTGAAGTGATGGAAAAACTAATTTGAGAGAAAAATGCACCTTTGTTAGACATGCACTAATGCAAACTCTTTGCCTTGCTCTGAGGTGTTTAGTGCACTCAGTTGAATTATAGTTCTCTCTATGCAGTGTTATGATAAGGTAGCATCTTATAACAGGTACACCAGAAGTGCAACATTCTTTCATCTTTAAAAAAACTGTCTCTGAAGTATTTAACACTGCAAAATGCCATTGCTGTCAGTGTAAGTAAACAGAAGTATTACATCCAGAAATTCCTCTAATTTATCTATCAAAGTCACTGCTGATGGCACTTTTCAGAACCCTTTTTGAAGGATTAAAGACTTCTTTATTTTTTAAATACTTTGCTCTTGAAAGTGTTTTCTGCGCTATGCCTGCTTGTATTTAAGCTTCTTATTGTGGAATCAGTGAGGATAAAGAGGTTTCAGTAAAGGACCAAGTTTACTTGAGCACGAAACTCTTGACTCTGAGAAGATTAGCAAGTTTGAATATTAGCTTTTTTTTCCACCAGCACGTCATGATTCTTAGCCACCAGCACTAACTGTGAAGGTAACCTTTCCATAGAAGATAACGGAAAGGGAGATATTTCCAAAGGGTGACTGGAGAGGAAGGATCGTGTTCTGTTCCCACCATAAGAATAATTGGAGTAGAGGTTTTTGTAGAAACTAAATATTTATGTACTTATGTGTAGCTGCTGTGCATGAAATGAGCTGCAATTGACTGAACAGAATCTGCAAGATGTAACAATCAATGAAGGATTTTTTGTATATTTGTATGGATTCTTCTTCTGCTCAACTTTTGGTCCTCAATGAAATTGTGATCAAATCTGTGGTTGGGTTTTGCTTGTTTGCTTCTCTTTGTAGGATGCTTTAGGTTTAGTTTTGTTGGGATTTTTTTTAAGAGACTAAGAAAAAGTTCTCAAACTGTAGGTTGAGAGTGGAAAGCCTTTAAAATTTTGGCTGACTCTTTTCACCGTCTTTGCTATTCCATCATACTTTCTTTGTCTTCCAACTTTTCCAGATTGTAACATGCAGGTTCCTATCACACTATTAAATTGCATTTTACTACATTATCTCCATTTTGAATGTTCTTGGGGACTTCAGCTTCTTTCCAAATTTTAAAATGAGATGTATGGATGAACTAAAATATTTCTTCAGGTTTCTTTAGAATTTTACTTTTTAAACTGCTTCATGAGATTTGATGTACCTATAGCACAATGTTAAGGCAATTTATAATGATCTCTGTCTCTTCTGTTTGAAACAGATGGTTCACAAGCACCAGCTAGGCCCCCTAAACCACTTCCTCGGAGAACTGCACCAGAAGTACATCACAGGAAAGCATACAGCTCTGACAGTTCCACAGAAAATGTGGATGCAAAAATTGCAAAACTGATGGGAGAGGGCTATTCCTTCGAAGAAGTCAAGAGGGCACTTGAAATTGCCCAGAATAATGTTGACGTGGCCCGTAGTATTTTAAGAGAGTTTGTCTGTTTTCCTCCACCAGTCTCCCCGCGCCTCAATCTATAGCAGCATCAAGATTTTCTTGGAGCATATGAATTCTACAGATAAACATGTGGATTGGGGAATGAGCGAAAGAAGAGAATGGAATATTTTTCTTTCATCCTTTGTAGAAGGGTGTTTGTTTCCAGCCGTTTATCAAAGGCTCATGGCTGCTCTGATCAAGACTTTAAAATATGCTGAGGCTTATGTATTTTTGCTAGCCATACTTTTTTAAATCAGGGTTGAACTGACAAAATAATTTAAAGAAGTTTACTTCCCTAGAACTTTTAATCTGTGAAATGCTTTTTCTTGTTTACAAGTTGGCAAGTTACAGTTTTCTAGTTTGTGCCTGTACTATGTTCCTGTTCATATTCCCTTGTACTTGTGGTCAGTTCTGCTGTAGCATTCCCAACAGTTTCCATGCTGACCACTCCATCAACCAGATCATCGCTTTCCAGAAGATCTGTCTTTGTTTTGTTTGGTTTTTCTTGTCTTACAAGATGCTTTAATTATTTTTTGCATTTCAGCTCATCAAATGCAAAAAGTATGTGGCCTTCACTACTGATTTTTTTTTTCTTCTGAGATTCCTTTGCTTTTGAGAGAGGAAATATCTGAATGTAAATGCATTATTCTGTCCATGAACTGCCTTTTTAAAGGTCTATTTGATGGTAATGTTGGGTGGCTTTCTGTTGAACATGAATTCCATGACCTGTAGTCCTCAAGGTCTTTTATATACGGTTTCCACAAAAAAATTCCCAAGCAACAAATAAAACACTTCATGCAGCAGTGATACTGAGTTCTCACATGCAAAACCTCTCTCCAATTTGAGTGTTTGATTGTGAATGTTCAAAAAAACCAAATGCAGACGGTAGCAGAGTTTTGATTTCACACTAATGGCACCAGTTCTTGATGACCCCGTGGCATGCCAGACTAGATGGAATCGTTTTGAGTCATATTAATGGTATTCAGGTAAATTCCAGTTCTAGCTTCTGTAAAATAGAATGCAGTTGGGTTTTATTTGTTTGAGTGATTATCCTGTGGTTCATTGTGGCTTGGATCAGTTTGTATTAACTTGGAAACTTTAAATCCTTGATGCACTGTTAATTCCTAATGCTACTGTAGCAATATTTTTTGCAAAGTTCTTTAGTAACCTCTTCCCTCCCCTGTACACTTCATAATTCTCAAGTATGTGATTAATACCCAGATTCATTCACTCACTTTCCAGCTGCTTAGTTGGAAATACATTTCTGCTTTACTTGGTTAGTGATACTCCAGACTTTGACATTTAATTTTTGAGCCCAAATTGATGCAAGCCAAATTAAAAAATTTTCTAATTTAAGAAAACTGGTGGAAGACAACTCTGTTCTTAGTACACACAAAGTGATATTTTCAGAATCATTCTTAAGGTTGCTGTTTTCTTGGTTTTTTAGGAAACTTTGAAATCTTCTTGTCTTATAATACTATTGAAAAAATAGAACCATGTGGTAGTTAGAATATTTTTCACATTTTGAGATGTGACCAGTATGTGAAAATATTTGCAGTGTGCCAAGCTGGGTGTGAACTATATATTTATTACTCCCTTCCAGCTATTAGTTGTTCTCCTTCACTCTGAGCAAGTGCTAAAATTACATCACTTACAATATCAGACCTCAGCAGCCAATGCATTTGTTGTAAAGATTTTTTTTAAAGACAGCAAGTGGCTGAGTTGCAAGATTCAAAATAACTAAGTTCTCATTGGAAATCACTGTGCTATCTAAGAATCAATAGTTTCATCAAAGAACTTATTCTTAAAATTGATGGAATAAATTCTTTTCTAGCCTCACGAAGTATACTATGGATATTATTAATCTGTTTCAATGATAAAAGATGATTAGGAAAATTCAGGGTATAGGGAAGAGCTTCTGTTCTATTTTGATTTAAGCAAATGATTCTGAGTTTATGTTCCAGAAAAGGACCTTTGCACCTTCCTTTAGTTGTTCATTCCTCAAGTACAGCTTATGAAAACATTTGGTTTAAGTTATATTCTGTGGTTTTAGTTCAACTTAATCTTTTTCCCCTCTTTTGGATGGAGGTCTTGAACCCTCTTGTTCATTTGGTTTGTTTACAACATCACTGTAGCATTTTACCTAGCTACAAATTCAAAATTATTCATGCTATTAAATTATACACTCTGGTTGTACTGGAATTACTGAAATGTGGTTCTAGCATAACTGCCAGCATGGCAATGATGACAGTGAAAAAAGAACACTTTACAATTATGAACAAACAATCTGCAGATGGAGTTTTGAAATTTTGAATTATAATGAAGAACTCATTTTCTCTTTTTTATGCAGCAGCTTAGTATAAATTACATCCTTATATTTCAATTAGGCTGGAACTGCTGCCTGATAGATTAAGGTTTTAAAATTTTTCCTCCTTCTTTCTGGTTGTGCCAGCAGTGACACTTTTTTTTTTTTTATTATGTGTTAAAAAAACCCACTTGATGAGCAATATTCTGTGTGGTAAGTTGAAAAGAGTTCCATTAATCTTTAAATGAGTGTGCTAATAACACTTCTAAATAGTGGAATGTGCAGACTATTTCAGACCTGTTTTGGTTAATAGTTTTAAAGTCAAACAGAGTGAAATTGCTTTGCTAGAATGTTGATGTTTACTCTGCAGGAATTAATAGGCTTAAATTAATCTGGCTGCAGTCTAGTTCTCTAAAGACATAGTTCTCTAAACGTACTTTAACCTTTGAAAGACTTAAGGGTTTGAGCCTGGCAGTGTGTTATGTGCATATATAACTTTGAGGAAGACTGACTTCAGTGAGACTGCTTGGATGAACAAAGTTGGTTAAACTCAGAAACATGTGCTATTGTATCTCTTCCAATACTGCAATCCTTTGACCATCGTTGTGATGTCTGTTGGCCTCACCTTTTCTCTCCCTTTGGCTAAATCACTGCATTTTGAGCAAATTGGCTGAATTAGAAGTTGAGCAGAGTACGTGGACATCAGCACAGCAGCATGGATCTTTTTCAAAGACTATGAGTAGAAAAAATGTTGAATTGTGATAAAAGAAAGGAATTTAATTTAATTAGCCATGTTAGTGGCTTGGCTGGAACCCTAAAATGGCCACGGGTAAAATTTGTTCATGTTCAGTATCTCGAGTGCATCTGACACAGCTTTTTTTATAATGTGAATTTAGGAAGCTTTGTACCAGGATAGTTTCTTCTGTTATGTTTCTCTCATTTTGAGCTTGAAGCTTTACTTTGCACTGACAACTCTGACCTGAAAGCATTTAAATTTGTGTCTTAAAACCAGACAAACTTTGAAGCAAATGAGCACCATATTCAACGCGAATTCAGGTACTACCTGTTGACCTGGAATTTAGCGCTTTTAGGAGTGACTTCTTGGAAAAGGACTTCACTAGTTTCCATTTTGAAGGATTTTCTTTCAAATAACTGTTTTATCTGCAAATGCCTTTTATAAACTTGTCTAACATGTGACAAACTTAGTGATGTGTTCAATTAATTTATATTTCATTCAACATTCTTTTTAAATTTTGGTTATTATGTATGCTCAAGTTCTTTATCTGTTCATGTAAGGTATTTTATAAAATTAATGTTAACAGAATGTTGGGTTGCTCCGTGATTTTTCAAGTCTCTGTCTCTTTGTTATTGAATTTTATCACTTTTCCTATGATGCTGTCCTGCATAGGGGCCTTAAAAAACATTGTTTGGTAAGCCACAAAAATGAGGTCTTGCACTAAAATGAGGTGAATCATTGCATTGAGACATTTGCTTTATATCCCCATTTTTAAATTTCAGTAGTAAAAATTTATGAATTGGCAGTAATTTTGGAATGTGCATGCAATAGTTGTATGGCAGAAAGATGCTAACCATTAAATATTTAGAATCCAAAGTGGTGAGCATATAGTCCGACTGTATATTAATTTACAAGACGTTTTCCTGACGAAAATTGCAATAAGCTCACACTGATATTTTTTTAACATCCTGTGCACTTACATTCTCAAGCATTGTACTGTTAATGTAAAATACATTTTAGGTATGCAAAACATTGTTTTTACTGTTACTGTATTCCAGCATTCTGGAAAAAGTGTAGAAAAATCTAATCACTCTACTGTGCATGACAATACTTAATATTACTGTTTAAAGCCCAACACCATTCCCTTCAGGTCAGGTTAGACCTTCAGTGCCAAGATATTCATGGTGCTGTCTTCAGTCTTTTAAATCCGTGTCCATTTTACAGGTCACTAGTCATATTACTAATTAGAGAATCTAACTATTTGGTATACTTGTCTGTATACTGTACGTGTCCATAGTACTATAGGTTCTCATTTCTTTCATTTTTACTCTTCCAATGTGAAAGTCAGCTGACACTGTATAGTGTTATAATCAGATTTCAGCATCTGGGAGCTCTGAGTATTTCAGGATTTTTTGTGTGATAGCCCCAGCTGTTAATCCTGTACAAGATACCTGCCTGCATTTAATCCGTTGCTATGAATCTTCATCAGGAAAATGGTAAATTTAGATCATAAAACACTGTGTGTTACTATGGCATCTAAACATTCCATTTGTCCTTAGAGGTTTTCATGTCTAGCGGTGAAAATTCTGATTCAAATTAAATCCTAATCCCCAAAATAAATCCTAATTCCCAAATCTTAGCCTCAAATCAAAAAATGGGTCTTAAATTTGTGAAACAATTGCCTAACCATCCTGAACATTGTAAGGAATTTAAAAGCCTCAGAATAATGTGAACCATGACAAGATTCTTGCTTTCTAGGCCTGACAGAAGCAAAAGCAGAAGTGCATTAAACGGTGATTTTCTGGCTGAAGCTGCTTGTGTCTGTCTTGATCCATGAAGGAATCAGCCAGTCCAGCTGCAATAGTACTTGTCTGAAAAAATTCAGGTCTTTTTAGTTGCAGTAACTGCCATGGTATCCAGCAAGGTAGGAGAGGAGCAGAGAACTACATAGAAGAAGGTAATTCTATCATAACAATCAGAGCCACTCTCTCCTGTTGACATACAAGATTTAGTTGTTGTGAACTGCCTGGGGATCTCATGCAAATGAAGGAGTATTTGTTATGATTATTCCAATCTTCAATTGCCATATCCTTCTCCAGTGAATTGTTCGAAAGACACACTGTTCTGGAGCAGGATGCCAGGGTCTTAGCAGCAGAGAGAAGTGTGAAGTAGCATTCCATTCAAAGTGTTTTGATGCTAGCAAAACAACCAAAAACTTTATAAGGATTCCAGTAGAATCTTTGGGTTTTGAAGGATGTGTATATGTACATTTATATATACATGCTAGTGTGGTGAAGCATAGAGGAGAGAGTATTCCTCCAAATGATGCCAGCCTGTGAAGTTTGGACCTAGGCTATGGTACTCAACATCTGCAAAATACCTGCTCCTTTTGGATAGCTGAATCTGCACAGTCATCAGGCTGCTATAGTGATCTGT